CTATTGAAGCCCCTTGCTACTATATGAGGATGTAATATTCATTTGTAATGTTCATTTTTATAATATGAGAGCTACACCCTTTTGTTGTATATTTATTATTTATTTGTATATAAAGACTATCCAACTCTTTTAAGGCTTTTTGATTCATATTGTTCCCAATTTCCGTAGTGGTTTTTTGTTCATATTGACTATTGTTCCCAATTTCATACGTAGGTATTGTATTATCAGAGTTAAGAAGGATAACGTAAAGCCAAAGCTCATTAAGGAAAAGAAAATTAATAACAATGTATACATCTAGATAACTATACACCAGTTACACTTTTATACAAAAGAATTCAATAGAATATACATACACGAATTCAAGAATTTCAAGATTGAAATAAAGATTTAATATTATGTAATCTTTGATAAAAGAATAATGATAATAATCAAGCCATCATGATCTTGAACTCCTCAAAGCAAAGAACCCCATCTCCATTGAGGTCAAACCTGCTAATCATAGCTTCACAATTCCCAATAGTGGTTGACTCCCCAAGCCTGCTCAGCATCCTCTTCAAGCTCTTGGGAGTTATGTGGCCTGTCCCCTCCATTTCATACCTCCCAAAGGTCTCCCTCAGCTCATCATCACCCCCCTCCCCAGCCACCCCCATGCCCTTCTCTTCCTCCATCATCTTGGTGAAGTCCTCAAGGCCCAGCATCCCGTCCCCATCGGAATCCGACAACCTCACGGCCATCTCGGCCTCCTCCGTTGTCAGCTCCCCTCCTACCGCTCTCACCGCCCTCTGCAGCTCCTCCGCGGATACCCTCCCGTCTCCGTTCTCATCAAAGTATGAGAAAACTCTCTCAAAGCATAAACCAGTACGACCTTTCTGTTCTGATGATGAAGCAGAGGTTGTTGTAAGCGGCTTAGTATGCATGTGGCTGTCTTCTTCCCCTTTTGATCTATTTCTGAGTATCTTCTTACACAGTCTCTTAAACCCAGAATTCTCGGAAGAAGAAGTCTTGTTCTTGTTGTTGATCATGGAATTTGATACCATGAAGATTATATGTACGTACTTGATCTTATATATGTATGAAGGATGGGATAATTACTTAAGGCTGAATCTGTTGTTTTGGATATATGCTGCTAATATATGGTTTTGTGTGTGTGTATATATATAGGATATATGGATATTGTGGGCTGGAGAATAGGTAATTAAATGGCGGTTTGCGGCAGTTGAGCGGGGCAATGCGCGTACGGAATCTTCGTAGAAAGTACCACGGTTTGAAAAAAAAAACGTACGTTTTACTTCGCATGACCAGAGAAAGAATGGACCTTTTAATCTTTGTCGCATTTCGGCTGGGGTGGTTAAAACTCGAAAACCTTTCAATTTAGGCCTACTTTGATTCATTATGTGATTATACAATATTCACCCTCTCTAAAAGTATTTTGTCATTAATAAAGTAATAAAAACTTATATATCTAGAAAGAGACTGCCCCAAAAAATGATTTGAATTGAATTGAAAAATCATTTTGGCAAAAAAAAAATCAAATAAAAAAATGATTACAATAAAATCAATGAATCGATAATCAATTAGAGTACAAAATGATATGGCCGGGAACGAATCAATATTATGTACGCTCTGGTACGTTCTTAAATAGACTTGGCAGTAAAGTCAAAATGCCAAACGTAGTCCCTTCTTTCCAAATTAGTTCCTTCTTTCCCGCTATTATGGTTCTGTTGCGATTTACGATTCTTGATCGATGATAAAGTAAACTAATATCTTTCTGCACTCACTTTGTTTTTAGAAAAATAAATTACATATTCAGAAATTACATTAAAAACTTTACAAAGTCACAAAATCAGAATCAAATTTGATAAAAATTAGATATATAAAGTAAGAGATTAAGAGAGAGATTTTTTGCATCGCCCGCTGAGAATCCAGCCTCTTTGAAACCTATCAACACTTCAGCATGAGAGCCAATCGGAAGAAGAAGCGCATGAGGAGGCTCAAGAGGAAGCGCCGAAAGATGAGACAGAGATCTAAGTAGATTTACGTCTTTGACCTCGTATCTTCTGCATCTTACGGCTGATCTCTGTTACTTCTGTATTTCCCCTTCTCAATGTTTCAGTTACATCTGTTTTGTAGGATTATTGAGATTCCAATTTTTGACTATATAATGAAATTACTATTTTGTTCTTCATTTTGATATAGCGTGTTTGCTGACTATTCTTTCTTCATAGCATGAAGATTTATCTGCGGAATGTTATATCAAAAATAAAAGTAAGAGATTAAGTATGATTTGTGTTGATTAAGTGAATAAGAACTGAGACAATCTTAGCGGGACAGAGGAAGTACTATTCTATTATCCAGCCAACTCGCAATTTATACCGTGGGATCGGCACACAGTGTTCAAGGTTCACCGATCCCAAAACGGTACCGTTTTTTGTTATAAAAAACAAATCCTCCTCCCCCGCTCCATCACTTCATCCCCAGCTCTACCCGCATCCTTCGGACCTTCAGTTCGCAGATGGTCGTCCCCCATTTGAAATCAATTGGACGAGTATTCCGCATGCTGCACGCCTTCTCTGCATCAAAAGATTAGGTTTCAGCCTTACTATTCTATTTGTTTTTGTCTGCCTACATGAAGAAGCTTGAAACGATTCTAAAAATCACATTCTTACATAGTTGTTCTCCCAGATCGAAATCATCGATTGCATTTTAATACCATCAAATTCATCTACGATAGTGCTCGTATTTATTTCTATTGTATTTTTGGCCTGAAGTTACATGTTTGTAAAGGCATTTTACATTTCAAAGAGCTAAAGTTACATTCACATTTGACTTGTTTCCAAGTTACATTTTAGTTAAAGCAACTTGGAAATGTAACTTGATTTTAATTTCTAAACATGAAGTTACATGTGAATTCACATGATTTACATTACATATAACCTTGGGAGCAGGATGTTCACCCTGCACTGCTCCCACGGTATAACAGCGGAAGCCAACTCGATTTTAATTTCTAATTTTATATACCAAACATTAGTTGTATTCGAATTTTCATTTTGATATACAATAGAATAGAATAGTTTAGTTTCTAAATATATAAATTTTAACTATTAATGATAGCGTATGTATTTGCATGCAAGAATTAAGTGCGCCTCTAAGATATTTATAGAAAATATTTTCAGTTGGAGTTATTTCAGCTTAAAATTAGATCATACTTCGCATCATGCAAGACTAATCACACAAGATCAAATCAGATGAGTGCAGGGCTACGACAAAAGGCGCTTTAGTGCGGGCCACAATCGATCATCGATGGCAGAGCTGCAGTTAATGAGAGGAAGGATCGCAGGCTCGCAACATGCTTGGAGAAATCGCCGATGAATTGCAGAAAGCAGGGGGATTCGGGTATAATTAAATGAGGGGTAAAAGTGTAATCTTTAGTCCTATAAACTTATAATCCTATTTTGGAGTTTAGGCAATGTTTTAGTCTGGTTTAGGGCAATTACTTTAAAACCAACATTTACAAGATTTAAAGCTTGGAAAACACTCTTACTTAGATATTGCAACTCATGCAGGATAAGCAATAGAGAACCGATTCGAGTTCCGCTAAAAATCCTAAACTCAATACAATACATGTTTTGATAAAAGACTTTGAAATAGTATCTTTTGGGCCGACAGAAAATTCCGTCCCACGTACTCAAAGGATTGATGTTGGTTGAGCAGTACATCTTCAAGATAGATACAAGTGTCTAATAAAGATTTTTTAAGAATCCTCCATCCATTTGTACGTTGATAGCTCGATCAAAAAGTTGAAAAGTCAGAATTGGGTTGAAATGTTTGAAATGGAATGACGTGTCATGGCTAAGTCAACGCGTCCAATGACGTGTAATTTGCCCCTTCTTTTGTCATGCCTATTTTGTGCTCATGAAGTTGACGTCGCATAGTTTCCCACCATCTAACTCTGTGTCACTGTGTGTGCACCGCATTGCCTACCAAATCCACTTGGTGGAGAATTTCACAAAAAGGAGGAATAATCTATTCATATCTTCTTTCATTTGTAAAAAAATCTATTTAGTCGGTGGCTGAAATTCATTATGCGTAGTATTTGTTTCTCTCTGATGTTAGTGGTTTGTGTATTCCACATTCCCACGTGATAAAGTGACCAATTTTTGTTATGGATGGTTGATAAGGCTTGTTCTATACTAGGGTGGGAACACATCTACCCTTATACTAAGTTTTAAGTTCTAGAATTTTTATCACTTTTAGTCCTCCGACTATTATGTCATTGACACTATTGGTACTCGACCTTGAAGTTTTCCATTTTTAGTTCTCCGATTATTATGTCATTGACACTTTTGGTACTCGATTTTGAATTTTTCCACATTTAGTCCTTCGACTTTCATAAATTTGACACTTTTGGTCAATTCATAGTGGAAGGACTAAAAATGTCAATTTTATAATACTCAGGGGACTAAGAAGTTGTTCTATTCGTCTTAATCTTATTACTTATTGCTTATTCTTATTTTATTCAGATCAGATCAGATCAGATCAGAAAAATTCAGATCAAATCAGAAAGATTCAGATCAGATCAGAAAAATTCAGATCAGATCAGAAAGATTCAGATCAGATCAGATCACATCAGAAAGATTCAGATCAGATCAGATCAGAATCATTCAGATCAAATCAGAAACATTCAAATCAAATCAGGAACATTCAGATCTGATCAGAAAGATTCAGATCAGATCAGACCAAATCAGAAAGATTCAGATCAGAAAAATTCAGATCAGATGAGATCAAAATTTAAAAAATTCAGATCAGAAACATTCAGATCAGGTGAAGAGAACAGATTTTAAATGTGGAAAACATTGAAGTCGAGGACTAAAAGTGTCTATCGCACGAAAGTCGAGGACTAAATATGAAAAAATTGAAAGTCAAATAGCAAAAGTGTCACGGACCCATGAAGTACTGAAAATGGAAAAAACTCAAAAGTTTTAAAACAAAAAGCTGATAAAGTTAAAATTGAGGTGCAAATGCACCCTTCCTAACGTTTCAATACTTTCCGGCTAACCTAACGTTAATCAGTTGTTTGGGCCTTCTCTGGGCTTTCTCTATCTCTATCGCTTAATTTCTTCGCTCCTTTGTCTTCATCGCACATACGAAGACGACGGATGTGTTCATAGCATAGACGGCTCAAGCCCTTTTTGAGGAAGATGAAAGTGCAGTACGAGTTTATCTGACTCTTCATCAACAAGTCAAAGGTATGTACAATAACTATCTCATCCCCATCCATCGATCCTCTGTACAGCAACAAGGCTTACGACTTGTTTAAGACCGAGCTACTGTTATGAATACTGGTAGAATTAAGGTCGAACAATGAAGAAGAAGAAACTCAAGCAATTGGAATTAGGGTTCTAAGAATCTGAAAGTGAAAGAATGAATACGATTAGTGTAAAATTGAATTACAAGGGAGTTTAGTAGTTTACATACATGGGTGTTAAAAGAGAATAATAATTAATATTTGCAGAATGGTCCTTCAAGTCTTGTAGCTTTTAATATTTAATGAGCTTTCTTCTTTTATATCATCTGCATCCATTTTATGAGTTTGATACCCCTCAAGATGATCATGTATATTAAGCATGTTCATCTTGGATGTGAAGCTATTGAAGAGAGGATTGCCCAAAGCTTTTGTGTAGATATCTGCAAGTTGAAACTCATTAGTAATATGAATCAGTTTAATCAAACCAGTGTTAATTTTATCTCTAATAATATGACAATCTATTTCTATGTGTTTAGTTCTTTGGTGTACAGGATTGTAAGTAAGGTGATAAGTGGATAAATTATCAGTATACAAACTTATTGGAGAAATATTAGAAATATGCAAGTCTTGAAGTAAAAAAAGTCAACCATTGTACCTGAAATACTTCTTCTGGTGTCAACACACTAAAGTCTTGTAGCTTTTAATATGTAATCAGTTTTCTTCTTTTATATCATTTGCATGCATTTTATGAGTTTGATAGCTACTCACTCAAAGGACTCATAGATTCACTAAATTCACCTAAGTAATTTGATATCTTGAATTGGATAAAGTAGCTAGAAAACTGAACAAAGTATAATGATGAGTACTGAATACTCGATATATAATTTCTCTCATTAAATAACTAACATAGCTAATTAATCACTTCTCTTAAATGAAAAGATATCATTTTCCTCTACCCTTAGTTCTTAGGTCCTTTACTGATTTGAAAGTTAAATCCCCCAAACCGGCTTTGAGGGATTTGAATCCATCCCAATTTCATCCCACATACTGTCTCTATCACTTTGTGTGTATACAATAACTTTGTCTATGGAGGAGCTATATTTCATGTCGATTTATGTGAATTGATTTCTTGTCATGTTTTACTACACCATCAAATCTTGGTATGAAAATTTCATCCCAGGTTACACCTATTTTAATTCCTATCAGAGAAAGTACATCTTCCAAACATGTCACTCAAACCTCTGGATTTGGAGTATTTGTGGATCTTAATACTGGAATGCAGACACTTAATGTAAGAGTATTTTATATCCTTTTGTAAGTATGTTTATGACCTCTTAAATTATTGTCTGATAAGTTTTTTTTTGTTTATACAGCTAGGTATGCGTGGTGAAATTATCATATCACCAGGTTCTCCCCATTTGCAGATCCCAATTTCTGATGATCCTAATGTCGTTACAAGGTTTCCCATCCCTAATGAAAAGACTATACGGAGGAAAAAAGCCAAACTATCAACTGGGGTCCAATTGAGGGAAATTAAGATGTCTGGAAATGGTACTGAAGTAAGGGCACCTAATCAATTACCATTTCAGGCTCCAGGAATGCAATTCAGAGGAAGACCTTCAGTGCTTGGGAAACATTTACAACAACAGAGAGACAAGAAGGCTACACAATTGAAGAATACCCTGAAGATGTAATTGTAGACTTAGAATTAAAGTAGTATGTAGTAGTATTTTGCTTACTGGTGTTTGCTTACTGGCTGAAACAGAAAACCCTTTTGTTTTTGTTATTTCTTTCATTTTATGGGTACTTACTATGCTGAAGCCAGTGTAATGATTTTTGCTATTAGTGAGTCATTGATGTTGTTTGGTTAGAACGAAGGGAAAAAACTGAATTAGCTCTTTTTGTATGATCATGGAGCATTCTGGTATAGAGCATGTTGTAGGAAGTGCTTAGCTTGTGAATGATTATGGAGCAATATCATCCATTTTATATTTCCTACTTGATCAATATATTATGTTCATAGCTGCTGTTTTTTAGCCACTAGTTCTGGGCTCTATGTCCATTTCCTCACAGTTGATCTATTACTTCAACTTTGTTTTATTAACTTGTAGACATTTTATATCAAATTTACTGTTTTTGTGTATTAACTTGTAGACATTTTATATCAAAATTAAACATGCAGAATTTTCAGCTTTCGTCATGCACTTTTATCTTGTGCTTCTTGATTGTTTACGGGGTAGCAAAAGGTCATTTATTTGTCAAGATGCTGGAACCATCTACACTTGTTTCATGCATCTTTCTTCTAAGATATTAATGATTTTCTTCTTTTTTCTTGATGCTGATACATTACAATTTTTTAGTGCTATAGCACCCCCTGTACATTAATAATCAATTCATCAATTTTTTGATGGTACTGTATTGACGGTACCCCTGAAGGTATTTGTAACACCCTCCAATTTCCCACCCAAAAATACATTAAAATAAAAATTCGTTTGAAAACATTAGTCTTGCAGCGGAAAATTCAAAGGGAAACAGGGGCGTTACCGCCACACTCGGTTCTCACATAACCGAGTGCACAGGCTATCCACCACCAACAAATTAAAATTTTCCATAAATAATTGTTCAACTACAATTCTTTATTATTATTATTTTTTTTTAACCTGGGGAGACCCGACCAGCAAGGTGGTTCGGGGTGGGGACCAGGGAACACCCCACCGGTTTACTGAATTCAAAAGGTTAAACATAGTAGGAGGGCCAAACCAAAGCCTACTCAGAAATTATAGTACATATGTATAGCTAATAGCTAATATCAACTACAATTCTTTAAAATTAAGACTAAAATAAATTACTCAATCACTTTAGTCTAAGTGTTCTAGCGGAAACTCTCGAAATCAACTTCAACATGATCCTCAATTCCTGCACAAATAAAGTACAGAAAGAAAAACACAAAGAAACAAAAATTAGTTGGAAATGCTAAGCAAGACCCACCCAACCCTGTAAAATAATCATGTTTGATACATATATATCATTTTGTGAAAACATTTGGGAGGAAACCTCTTGAAACACTTTGTACAAACTTCTCATCACAAAATCACATGTAAAATAATAATATTCCAAATATATATAGGTACATATTTCCAAATCATAATAATTCTAAAATGTCAATATACACAAACCACCAAAATTCTTGTAAATATATTCCAAAACATATATCTTATATATAAAACCCAAATATCCATCTCAAAATACTTCCAAATACTCATAATCAATATTCAACATAACCATATCAAATCAAATCCAAAAGTTTTACTTTGAAAATCCACAAATAATTTAATAATCTCAACCACCTCAAATTCAATCCAATCCAAATAAATTTAACACACTCAAATAATCCAATATAATGTAATTTAATTCACCTCAATCAAGTCCAACCAAATAATCCAAACCACCTCAAGTCCAATGAAATTCACCTCAAAGACTCAAAACCAATTCACCTCAAGACCAATGGAATCCAAGTCCAATTAAATCCAAATATAATCCAATCATTCAAACTCAATCAAAGCCAATGGAAGTCGAACTCCTACCTTAAGTGTGCACACCCCCTAAAAGAGATTCCAAACTCTTCGGGTAGTAAAAAGTCCGAGTAGTCGGGATTTTTCTACCGACTACTACAATTAAGCTGGGATACTCCGCTTTTGGGAGATCCCTGGTGGAATTAGACTTATAGTCATTACCACTCATCAAATCCACATTTCTCCGGGTACTCACAAAAGCATAATTCAATCTCAAAGTTCAAGTATCATAACCTCAATCAAAATGGATATGAAATCCAAATTCCACAAAATTATTCACAATGAAATTATTAACTCCAACTCATCATACTCAAATATACCGTAAATAGTCCAAAATATAGGATACTTCATAAATAGCTCAAATCTCAAATCTCAATCCAATAACAATTCATATGTAAATTCAAATGCTCAAAATATCACCCAATAAAAATACTCAAATCTCAAATATATATAATTCACAATCACAATTGATACATAAAATCTCATTAACTATCAAATACTCAAATGATCTCAAATAACTAGTCACAAATAAATATATATGGGAAAATCATGAAATTTGGTTGACATAGTACTTATCTCAAATTGCGATAAATCTAACTGAACCCTCTATCTCGATCTTCACGAAAATCACCTTCTACGAATATTACAATTCTTGAATTAATAACTATTCTGGCTCCTTACTAATAATTACCCAATTATGGTTAAAATTTAAGTCTCTCGTGATTAATCACTTTGATTCACTTATTTAAATAATAATTAGTTCGTCTGGACATATACTAATCCATTTATTAATTAATCAGTCCATTTATAAGTCTCTTGATTTTACACCGTCCATTTTTTTAGGCTAACAAAACATGCATACATATTTGTTTGATAAGTCAGCTCATTTTTATTTTTGAACACATATTATTAACTGATAGTTTTGAATTAAAATTGTTAAAATGTCACTTTTATTATTGAAGCATTTTTATCTGATTAAAAATGTCACCTATGTTAAAATTTTATCTGATTCATTTAATTATTAAATGTCACTTTCGTAACATTTTATCTAACTAATAAATTCATTTATTTTATTTCAATTTTTTGGAGTGTCACAATCTACCCTCCTTAAAAGATGCTTCGTCCCGAAGCATAAGCAAAGAAAATATCCACAGTACAATTAGCAGGTATCACATGTTAGTTAATATCAAATTCATTTTATTAAATTTAAGGAGTGTCAAATTCTACCCTCCTTAAAAGAATGTTTCGTCCCCGAAACATTTAACTTACTCAAGGAAATAAATTATTCATTTAAGATCAAAATGATACATAATCCTCAAGCAGATTTATTAATATTGAGAGTTAGAAATTTTATATGATTTCGCCTAGTATTTTCATATTCTTCAGTTGCGGTTTGCATTATTTCCATGACGATTGATTCCACGAGTTGGAGGGTTTCCCTTCTTCCTTGAGTGACAATCGAACACTCTATGCCTTAGCTTGTCACAATGAAAACATCGTACGAGCGTTCTGTCACAGTATATTCCAGGGTGATCTCTTGCACACTTTTAGCAGTAGAAGTGCATCTCTGCGGTGTGGTTCTTCTTACGCTTCTGGTCTTGGCCTTGGTTGTTGATCTTGTTACCATTTGGGGTCTCCCCTGACATATTTAGCTTGTGCCGTTTGCCTCCCTGTCTGCTTTCTTTTTTGGTGCCCTTCCTCGCTTTTTTGAGTGTTTTCTTCTGGAGTTGTTGCACTCGATAGTGCTTGCCAGCTTTGCCGTAGGCATCACTCAAAGTTTGGCATTCTGAAACACAAAGAACTTTTTGTGTCTCAAAGTTCAGACTGTTTATAAACTTGTTAGTTTTCTCGATTTCATCGGGAACTAGCGTGGGTACAAATTGTGCGAGATTCAAGAATTTAGACTGGTACTCTTGGACAGTCATGCCTACTTGCTTCAGGTGTAAAAATTCTTCATACTTCTCAGCTCTCACGTGCTCTGGATAGAATCTTTTTCGCATTGCCTCCTTGAACGTCTCCCTAGAAAAGTCGGGTTGTTGATGCAACGTTGGGGCAGTCATGGCCCACCAATTGTCCGCCTCTTGTCGTAGATAATATGCAGCCGTATTAATTCGTTGATCTGCAGGGCAGTTTATAGCCTCGAAGAGTTTGTCGAAAGTGCGAATCCAATCCTAAAAAATGAGGGGATCTTCTTGGCCTAAATAACACGGGGGATTGTGCTTCGCAACAAGTTTTGCCACATTATTCGGTTTTTGAGACGTTGTTGGTGTTGGTTCTGAACTAACACACTCCCGATAGTCTGGATGAGTTGAACCATATTTTGAGCCAACTCCGCATTCGTCGGGGTGACAACATTGTCTTCTACTTTGTGTCTTGTTGACTTCATTGTCTAGTGGAGAAAATAATGTTTAGGACACGAAGTATATCAAATGCCATTCATATTTATACTACCTTAACTAATAACTCACTACTCACATATTTTGGTAAGTTCCTCTAAAAGTCCAAACTCATTCTCAAATGAGTCAATAAATATATATATCTCATATAAGTATAACTCAAACAATTCAAATAACCACAAACTCCACCAAAATAGAAATTCAAAACCTCACATTCTCACCACGGTCCTAGACGTTTTTACTTAATCCAGAATAATTTAATTTCCTAGTATTTTGGAAAATGTTTTGAAATATTCCCTTGATAATTTTTTTTCTAGAAAACATTTTTTTTTTGAAAAGCTCTGATACCAATTTGTAACACCCCCAAATTTTCCACCCAAAAATACATTAAAATAAAGATTCGCTTGAAAACATTAGAGTCTTGCAGCAGAAAATTCAAAGGGAAACAAGGGCGTTACCACCACACTCGGTTCTCACATAACCGAGTGCACAGGCTATCCACCACCAACAAATTCAAATTTTCCATAATTAATTGTTCAACTACAATTCTTTAAAATTAAGACTAAAATAAATTACTCAATCACTTTAGTGTATGTGTTCTAGCGGAAGCTCTCGAAATCAACTTCAACATGATCCTCAATTTCTGCACAAATAAAGTACATAAAGAAAAACACAAAGAAACAAAAATTAGCTGGAAATGCTAAGTAAGGCACATCCAACCCTGTAAAATAATCATGTTTGATACATGTATATCATTTTGTGAAAACATTTGGGAGGAAACCTCTTGAAACACTTTGTACAAACTTCTCATCACAAAATCACATGTAAAATAATAATATTCCAAATATATATAGGTACATATTTCCAAATCATAATAATTCTAAAATGTCAATATACATAAACCACCAAAATTCTTGTAAATATATTCCAAAACATATATCATATATAAAACCCAAATATCCATCTCAAAATACTTCCAAATACTCATAATCAATATTCAACATAACAGTTGTTATACCGTGGGAGCAACCCACGGTGAGCATCATGCTCCCAAAGGCA